AAAGGCCTTCTCTACTACGCGGGTTCAAATCCCGCCGAATGCCTCGAGTTTTATCACAATCGGGTCAACTCAAATTAAGCAAATCTACCAAACCTAACAATTACATCATTACAATTGCAGGCACCATACTACTCGTAATAAGTGAGTAGTCGTGTATTTTTTATATTCGAATAACCGACGACTGCTCGCTTTTCGCCTGCAATTGTGTAAACGATGTCTTTTTGTATTTTTCTTTTGCATCTATACATTTCCTAGCCATGTTGTTACCAACAGGGAGCTGAAAGGCGTTTGTCTATCGTTTCCTTGAGAAAAATGAACTGAATTGAACCCACTCTAGAGGTGCCCTCGAATAATCTGCGGAGGTTTATATACTCCCATTAACTTTGATCCTAACTCTAACCCTAATGAGAGGGAGATACGCCTTATTTGGAAAATATTTTCCCGAAAGGTTCATCAAAAAAGTCTTCCACTCACTACGAATAAAATAAAGTACAGAAGCCACACAATAAAGATATTACTCGTCATGGAACCCCTGGCTGCCGCCAACATTCACAGCAGGATGCCGATCCTATCTTTCACATAGCTTCTCCCACGAGTGACAGTTTTCTCCTAAAAAAACACAAATGAAATCCAATTTTGAATTCTGAGCCATGCCTTAGGAGTTTTTTCACTTTCTGCTCTTTTTGCACAGTTACACCTGTTGGCTCGTGTTAACTGACATCACAACACGTGAGTGTATTACTTAGAACAAACGAGTAGTCGCTTAGAATTATGTAAACAACGTCTTTGAAATGTTCGGCTGTGCCGATGCATTTCTTAACTACTACTGGAGTCCAAAAGCATTCGGCTATATTTCCCTTAATAAAATTGACTTGACTTGGCACCGGGGAGATTACAAGCAATTGGTAATGGCCAAATAATGTAATTGTCGACATCGTGGAGAAATATCCTTAAATATGTCGCAAAATGTAGACCAAACTGGACTTCTTCATCATACGCGATAACCTCATTGTTGTGGTTCAAATAAACAAAAAAGAGTAAAATAGGTTTATAATGGGCGTACTGGGCCAACCAATGTGTGTACAAGAAAATTTGCATGTTAGTGGAGTTAAGAAAAACGGCGGCTCAATTCCAAAAACCAAAATTATTATGCCCACAGCCTGAATCCCAAACAAGGCCACCTGAGGCCCATATTCTCCTGCGTTGTGGTTATCGCAGTACAAGAGGAAGACACTGATACAGATAGGCATTCCCAACAAGGATCACACGGTATACTGCCTCAGTCCCAGTCCGCCGGGTCCGCATCGTCCCGCAGGCAAAGAACTCCACTGGTCCGATTTCCAGTACTGTCTGATGCTGCCTGTTCGAGATAGAGGTGTCATTCTGCTGATGGACTTGCACATGTTCCAAAAATCCTCTTTTGCCCTTCGCACTGTAGTGTTCGCTTCGGCTAGGATGGTGTTTATCCGGCACTCCACACGGACTCGAGCCCGCACGTCACGAAAGTCATCAAAGGGGCTGGCACAGTCCTTGAGAGGCAGGCCAAATGCTGAGTTGTCAGTCAGGTTTAAATCCTCCTCATTTGCACTCAGGCGCCGTCCTGATTCCTCGTTGATGTTCCGCTTACGGTCGGTTTGAGCCTCCAGGCAGACCTTGGCTTCAGTCTGAAGGTTTAAGGGGAAAAGCAGAAAACAGCTGAATTCGTTTGGTTCCTTATTCTGGCTTTCATACAAGATACTCAAAAGCCAAACAGTACCATTGACCGGTAGGTTGTTCAGCAAATAATTATATCAAAATCCCTCTTTCCATCCACCAAAAGGTGGAAGGAAAATTGACGAGAAAGTTTTGTAACGTGCGGCCAAGTCGTCGTGGAAGACGGTGAAAATTGGTGGAAAACACCGTTGGTAATGGATACACAAATACTTTCTCCCCATTCTTTTGTTAGACGCCACCTTAAACAAATCGTGGCGACGCAGTTCTCAGCAACTAGAAATTACTAGCTTGTGTCTATTATGGTCGGGGACCGGATCCATTCGAATTTGGAAAATCCGTCAAACTTACCAATAAAATAGACATTCTTTAAGCCAATTCGTTCCAATAAAAGGTCAACGAAACGCCCATCTCGGTATATCGTTGGGGCTTGTATAAATATCGTAGCTAAGCTACGTATTGTACGGAATATCTATATGAAGGAGAGAACAATTTCCGTCGGCGGAAACTGAATGGTTCTCAAGTGATAATTAAGATAAATAAATGCAGTCGCATAAACCTGTTTGCATTTCGACTAAATATCTGCATAACATAATAGTTATTCTAAAATTATGATCTCATTTGCTTTAACTAGTCTTGACAACATCCCTCCTCCCATGAACTGCACAAAAGGCCATAGTTACTGCCTCTGGCTGGCATATAGAGATCTCTTATGGAAAAAAACACCCAATTTCTATATGTATTCACTTAATTTAATGCAGCTAAGCAATTTCCGTATTTTTATCAAGTGTTGTTTAAATAAACTAAGCATACGCTTGCTACTTAAAGATAATAAGTACTGCGTTTTGGTCAGTATATTTTTTCATGGTCATTTTATTTAGTGTTATAACCTCTGCATGCTATGAAATACAGTAGACGCCGTTGATGATGCAATATTTCGACATATGCGAAAGACTA